TATTCCGCCTTGTCCCTTCACTCCAAAATTTCCATAGATAGCAGCATACCAGCGGGGTCTTCCCCGAAAATGGTAACCTGATAGGCGAAAAAAGAAGCGGACTCCCAAGATCCGCAGATCAGCGGGGCTCTCCAAGAAGTCTTGATATCAACGACTTGCAACATATTTCGTGAGTGATGATTGATTGTGAGAAACACCTTGTCTAGGACTGATTTACTCTGACTCTCCCCCCCGTTACACAAGACTTTCATCAAACCCCCCATGAAATAACGTCAGCATTGGCTCGCCATTCACCACCACCTTGGCCACGCCCGTTGGTTCATGCCTACAAAAAGTGCAAAATCCAGGGGTAAACCTGCCATCCTTTATGGGACCCCCCAAATCCTCGGCGCCTGAATACGATAAACTATTCCCCCCCCAAAATGCAACCTTGCCTAAATTCCATATTGAAACTCTACCTACAAACACAAACCAAAGCTCACGATAACCAGGTAGTAGCTAGTGTATGTTATGTACAACTTCAAATCTCCCAAATCACTGTCTTGTACCATCAAACTTTAAAACCCCCATCGGAAAATCCGACACCTTGGAGACAGACCCAGCCATGCACATGTACTGTACCACTGTTGCATCTTGGAACCCTCATATCACAACACATACACACACACAGACACACACAGACACGCATCCCACTCAATTGCAACGTCGTACAGCTTTGTCTATTCATCATAATAATAAAAAACACCCATCATTCCTCATTCATTTTGAGTTACTGCTCGCTGATGAAGGTAGGCTGAGCCTGGTGCCAAGTATAAATATCCCCATGCATCTATCCCATTAATCCATTAACCCATAAACCCCCTCTGCTAATCATGCTAAACAGTTCGCTCATGAAGCGTCTCTGCCCATAATATCGTGATCGGTCCAAGTTCAACAAAAAATAGATAAAAAAAGAATATTCGGCTTGATTTGCAATGATAGCCCATGGTATATCCCAAGAAAACGCCCCAACACCATCGCTGTGTAGAAAAAATGCAAAATACAACTGCCCAGTACAACAACCATATTATGGTGATCAGTAGTCGCTATCATTGCCGTCAGGTAACGGTATCGACGCGGCTTCTGATAGGGTTGCATACTCCGTTGGTGCTGTGGGCGCTTCTATGCCATTGACCTTCAAGAACGATACTGGGCCCTGAATTTCCTGCGTTTGTATTTCGCCAGAGCTGGTGAGCTCAGTAGTCATCAGAGTCTGCTCAGGGTCGACGCAGTCATAAAACAGCATGAATACACCGCCCTGGGCCAGGACCGTATCTTCATCCACCTTGGTGACATCCTCATCGCTCAGGGACCACCACTGCTCCTCACGATCCTCCACCTCTGGGGTCCCGCGAGTGACCGGTGTCGATGGTGCATCCGCAGATGTGTCGTTCTCGGAGGCAAGCTTGGGCGGCTCTTCTGTCACTGCTGCTTCCTCCTCCGGTGAAGCTGGTGGAGATGACTTGGGGTGTTTCCGGAAGCAGACGTAGTGGCCATTTTCGTGCCTACCATAATGAGCAACTACGGCCCGTAACGTGTAAATAGGACCAGTAATCCGGGATGTCCGGTCTCCTCCGGCTACCATCGATGAGCGGGGGTCTGTAATCCACTCCTCCTGATCCGAACTCAAATCTCGACCCGTCAGGCCTGCCGCGCTCCCTACGCACCAAGGTCCTAGGTCCAACTCCATCGGAAACCGAACATTTGCCCCGTTCTTGTAAAGCCGGCCACTATATTCGTCAAACACCGATCTGTTGATGTGGAAGACCAAGCTTTGTGGCGGCCGGGCGATGGACGTCTGCTTGGTCTTGGTAGAGCTCTTCCGCTGCGTCCGAGGGATGTTACATTTCTTCAACGTGTCGTCGTTGAAGTCTTCCTCCTCCAACGCTTCCTCAATAATCTGGATTCTTTCCGCCAAACCGGGAATGTTGGCTCGCTCAAGAAGGGCCTGGAGATTTTTGCGGGAGTTGAGCAAGGTGCATTTGGTGCACTCGACGTCCTGAATAGCCTCAAGACTGGTGTAGGCATCCAGCCTCTCATAAAGGTCGTGCTCCATCCGATTTCCAAGGTTAAGGGTCAAACAGTTGAAGGGAATCATATCCAAGCCGCTGCAGTAGCCGCATGATACACAGGCTACACGCTGAGCGATGAGGCCTTCCAGAGGGTTTCGAGTCGCGCGGATATCTTGCCCATATTTTGACTGGCTCTCCATGCTGTGATACCCGCTATCATCACTGTGTTGGCTCGAGTCCGAGTCGTCGCGTGACCAATCGAGCTCCAGGGCCGGTGAATTGTGAGGATTCTTCAAGCTTTTCGCAACCTCCTTGCTGATCTGTTCGAGAAGCTTGGAGAAATATTCCTGCGCATCTTGTTGTTGCCAAGTATTCATCTTCTTCAAAACAGCTGGTGTGCCCAACGTTCTCCCATTGTTCGAAAGATTGTTGAGATCCAGTATCAGCTTGTGGAGCTTGCTGATCGTAAAGCTGTCGGCTGAAGTCATCGCGGAAGAAACTGCTGAAAGATATCCCGGAAAAGGTTTTAGAGAGGCAAGTCCCTGAAGAATACTGTTCTGGAAGCAAGAGTTGTCCATGTTCAGAAGTCCTGGCGGCTGGTCTGGCAAGCTCTTACGTGTCACACTCAAGGCCGCGGTTGACAGGGTAGTCAAGCTCTTACGCCCGGCTTCTAACCCCGAGTGCAGGATTCCTGCTGCGGTTTCCAGGCCCAATATCTTCTTAAGGACATCGCTCTTGGCTTCATGAGTAGTTGGTCTGTCGGCCGACAAGGGTCGCGGGAAAAGGGAGGGGTTGAAGAAGTCGTCCATAGCGTAGAGCAGCTTGGCCGGAGTGATGGCGACCAAGATTTTCCAGACAAGCTGTGAGAATTCAGGGACCCTCCCTCGTCGTTTGGCAGTTTGGTAGATCCAACTGAGTAGGAGGACGACAATAGTTGCGACAATGCCTATCGGGCCAACGGCGCGGTCTCTCAGCTGTCGCAAAGTGGAATGCTGTTGTGAATCGAGGCCAACGCGGGTTTCCACTTGGCCCAGTATGCGCCGGTACGTTTCGGTATTCATTGTCGGTGCGGGTGTGCTGTGTTTGTGATCTGCGAGCTGCTGGTCCACGGGTCCTTGTGGTGTGAGGGTTAACGAGCGAGTATAAGTATTTCCATGACCTCGGGCGCGCAAGAGATATTCGGTCAACCTGGAAGCTTCCTCCCGTATCGTCGTTGTTGGCAAGGTAAACCGTTGAGGTTGGAAAAACCCGTGGGCGTTCAAATGCAAAAGCCAGAACTCAGCATGTGGAAAAGAGCAAGCGGCAGGGGGGCAGTGGGGGGAGGGAGACAGCTTGGCATCTTTCTTCAGCGAATCTGACGCCAGCAATTGGCCGCCTGGGAGTTGAATGGACGAACACCCCAGCGGGCACCAGTGGGGCAAGTCCCGTCTCAGGCCTTCTATCATTCCGGCTGTTTGTGACGGTTATTGTTGTTGTTTTTGTCTGGCTTACTCGGGATGCTCCGAGGGCATGATTGTTGACGACTTGAATGGAATTGAGTTCACTTTGTCTCCATATTCTGCAAGCGACCAGTACCCAACGCTCTGCAGGCAGTGAAACTCAAAATTGCTTCCAATGCAGCAGATGCCTTCAGCCCCATTTTATGGGGAGCAGGGATGCTAGCAAACGCCAAATGCTCCATCCCTGCAACATCGAGCACAACGACCCCACCCAAAAATTCAAGCTTGGCAAGAAAATACACATCGATAAGGAATTTCCGCCCGCCGATAAACCACTAAATACCATCATCACCAACCCTCAGACCTCGACTTTTTGCTTGCGCAATTCTGCTTTGAGCCGCTGCAAAGTTCGGTCTGTTTAAAACATATCACAATGGCCAAACCAACAATCTCCAAGGGCAAAAAAGGTATTTCCACCCCGTCCCAAGTCTCTCCTCACCGAACAGACAAGAGTCGCAAAAATACTAACACTTCCCCCCCCCCAGGCCCATCAAAACACTCCCGCGCCTCCCGCCGCGAAGAGCCCATCGACATCAACACCGACAAGTCCCTCAAAACCGTCCTCCCACCCGTCATCTCCACCGACCACCACCGCCCCGCCGTCCTCGCCGCCCAGCTCGCCTCCTCCGTCTCCAAACCCACCCGCAAGACCGGTCGCAAAGCCCAGCTCAGCTCCCGGGCCCGCAAGCGCCAGGAGAGATCCATCGACATGGCCGAGGCCGTCATGGAGCGCACCTTCACCAAGCGCCAAAAGAGCCTGGGTCACGCCAAGGTGATCAACACGAGGAGGAAACCGTGGGAGGAGATCAACAACGAGGTCTTTGGCGAGGAGGAAAAGGCAAAGAAGCTCACAAAGAAGCAGCTGGAGAAGCAGAGGGAGGATGAGGTTGTGAAGAAGTTCTTTGAGGAGGGGGCGGACAAGGACGAGGACGGGAATGTGGAGATGGAGGGGGCGAGTGAGGATGAGGTGGTGGAGAGGGTAGAGACAGCGCAGGCTATGGAGCAGGAGGTTCTGTAAGGTCGGAAACAAAAGGAACGGATTGGGGGGGGGAGGGCAGGCGTTACGGACACATATCAATCATTGTGGATCTTTGGGCTTTCTAAAATCTCCGAGAGCGGTAGATTGAGCGTTCTTCAGTGCAGGAAAACAGCTGGTCAAGGCCAAAATGTTGGTTGCACTTTGAGTACATAAGAGGTCTCGAGCGTAGGATGCTCGAAATCAAGGCAGGACAAACGGTCGTTGACATAGTTTTGATACCCAAAAATATATAAAGAGTTTCTTCTTCGGGGATTGACGTCTTTCTTATATCTATTCTATTACCTGCACCCGTGCTTGAAGAACACCCCTAAATCATAAAAGTTCATGCATTTACTATGACTTTCTTGGACCCGGTTGTCTTTTGCGATATATCCCCAAAACCCATCCTTCAGTCTCCATCAAACAAACCAAGCGGGTTTAGCTCAGTTGGGAGAGCGTCAGACTGAAGTCCACTTCGGCTACTTAACAACTATCCACACCAGGATAATCTGAAGGTCGTGTGTTCGATCCACACAAACCGCACTTCGTTTTGGTTTCTGTTTTGGTGCTTGAACCACACAATATAATAATCTGGTGCCATTTCTCCTCCTAAACTGAAGGTTCACATATATATCTATCGTGACCTCTCTCTCTCCCGTCCCCGTATCAAGCGACCCTTTTTATACCACCCAACCAATCCAACCAATCACCACAGCACCCTCCCCCAAAAAAAAGCTTAACATATGACGCCACGGGGCTTATCCTTAACAGGGGTCTCAGGCCCCCCAATTGTGCTCGTCAGCCGCACCCAAAACGCCCATCGCAGCCCTTCCCCCCAACCACTCTCAAGTTCACAGAAAAAGCTTTTCAACAAGAATTTGGGGCCACGTCTTCACATCATCTTTTCTTCCCAGAAGAAAAAAAAACCATCTCATTCTTCTTTTCTCTTCTTTAAAAAACCCACCACCATCCAACCCCCACGCCCCCAGTGAGTGGCAGCTTCTAATTACAACTCAACCCCCCCGTGCCCCCCAATCACCACCCGCCCCCCAATGAATCAAGGGACCCTGATCGGCAAACCCATATGACGTATCACCCCCTCCCCCGGACGGACAAGGCAACAACGCTCACCCACACGACACAAGGAACAAACGAACATATAATAACAATGAATTCGATTCCCCAAGTCGAGGGGGAAAAAAATATTTCCCATTTCCTTCCAACTCATGTCCCGTCATGAATTCATACCAAGCCCAAAAGATAAGCGACGCCATGCTCCCGATAAATCCCCAGCCAAAACCATACTTATAAGAACCATGGTATGCACATACGCTTTCCTTCACCCATATTATTAGCTTTGTGGCTCAGTAGCCCTTATGTCCCCCATATTTCGCTGTTCCTTTTTTCTCTCTTTTTTTTTGAAAAATCGGAATCTTTTTCCCGACTCATTGACGAGACAAAATGTTTTTCCTCTTCTCATCGGAAGCAGTACCCGATCCGACCCGGGCCACAAAAAGGATTCTGGAGAAACAGAGACACATCCATCTACGGTTCGAGGCTCGATGGGTCTCTCCATACCTCGTGGACACCGACTTCTCTTCTTTTTTTTCAAACCATGCTCATCTCCCCTTCTCTTCCGCCATTCGACTTCACCCCTTCTCTCTCATCTCATCACGCCCCAAAGGTCGACCCGACATCATCCATCCCCGGACTAAACATCGAATCCGGCATGTGATCGTAATTAATCGTCGTCGAAGTCACCGACTCCCTTTTCAAAACCCCACCACCACCCAGGTGGTGATGAGCCCCACAACCACCAGCTTGATCATCCAAACACGAAACCGGAAACGCAGTATCGGTCGGGGACGCATACAAAGCAGCAGCCGTACCTGAAAAGAGTGTGAGTCTCCTAGGCCGGCAACAAAAACCCGCCATCGCCGCAGCAACCAACCGTCGGCGTGGCCGCCCAAAACATAGACTCACCAGGAGGATAAGCAATGCTCCCCTGCCGGTCACTCCCCGGCCCAGTACCTGTACTCCCAGGTCCACCAGTCAGCCCCTCAAAACCCGTCATGCCGCCCTGGAGTTGGTATTGAGTCGAAGCGATGCTCGCGTTCCGGCTCCTCGGTGATCCTGGTGTCAGCACCGGAGGTTGGCTCGCCCCTGTCGCCGGCTGTCCAAATGTGAATCCGGCACCAAACAGCTCGTTGTTTGTCTGGACCTGGACAAACCTCGTGGCCTCGTTGTTCAGCCACCGGTCAATATTCGAATCATTGCACTTGGCGTGCGTCATCAAGTGATGCTTCAGCTCGGCGACCTCGCCCAGCAGCTCCTGGAACTGCACCTGGAGAGACGCGTGCTGGTTCTCGAGGCCGATCTTGGCCTCTTCGAGTTCCGAGACGTAGACCTTTTTCTTTTCCCGGCACTTGCTGGCTGCGATGCGGTTCCTTTCGAGGAACTTGTTGCGCTTGTGTTCGTCTTGTTCCATGTTGGCTTCCTTCTTTATTCTTCGAGTCTTTCGCTTCTTGTTTGGGGGATGGCTGTGGAGGCCGTCTTCTGGGAGGGTGATGTCGGTCGAGGTGCTCCCCGATTTGGAAGTTCGATTCGAATGAGATTTGCTGGAGGAGGTTCGCTGGGTGGACGGACGGGACATCTCCATGGAGAGAACCTGGATGCCGGCTTTGATGTCTTCATTGTCGGGGTCTGGCTGGTAGAGGCCTGGGTCGACGAAGAGCTTGTGGCCGGCGTGAGGATCCATCGTGGTGTCGACTGGGTGTATGCCCTCCCATTCATATGGTGGACCACCGAGGTCGATTTGTGGAGGGACGTCATCTTGAGATGGGGTGGGCCCGAAGGCGATCTTATCGTCGTAAGGGCCAAAGTTCAATTCGAGGGTGTGCTCGTTGACATCATGGTCTGGAGTTTGGAAGGTGTGCGTCTCTTCGAGGTCGTCTAGGCATTGATCGAAGTAGTGAGAGGGCCCATCCATCTCGCTGCTTTATTAGTATGTTGGCTTCTACCCACCACGCAGTGTGAGTGCTGCCAGCAACAACCAAGTGGTTGGCAACAAAAGTCGGGTTGGAAATGCTCGAGTTTTTGGTGGAGTTGAAGTTTGAATTTTTCAAATCCTAAAACAAGGCAAAGAAGCACTGTGGATTGTATGAGGCGGTTGGCGTCGTTGGAAGGTACCTGCAGTGATGGCGTCGAACCGGAGTTAACCTCCGAGCTATTCTTCTTTGGGCAGGCACAAAAGGTCGGTCGGCGTTGCGACTGCCTTGGTTGGGCGCTTTCTCTATTGAGGGTAAAGCTTCAGTCTATGGGTTGGGAATAGTAGGTGAAAGAGCAAGGCAAGAAAAATAATCATCATAAGTTTTGAAAAGGCTGGTGGCCAGACATACTGTGATCCGAGTGGCGTCGTAGGTTGTGGTGTGTGTGGCTGCTAAGGGGTCTCTTCGGCTCACAGCTTGTTACGGGAATGTTGTACGACCGCGTTTGGTCTGTCTCTCACCCTCGCCCGGAAAATAGGCGCATTCCTTTGTTGCGTTTGCGGGAACCGAATTGCCAGGTGGGAGGAAGCAAGAAAGGAGAAACGACACGCGGCAAAGGAGGTCAGTTGGTATCAAGCTATCAGTAGTATAAGACAAAGATAGCGGGGTATAAGGTTGTGGTTGTGGTTGTGGTGCGTGGCAGAGATGAGAAGGTGAGTGGTTCCTCTTCTCTATGGGTGGACAGCTGGGCGAGCTCAAATCAAGGAATCCTGATTCTGAGCGGGCATAGATCCGACACCTGCGGGGAAACCCCAAGAAGCCCTAATCGAGCAGCCAAGCACGGGAATCGTTCGTTGCTGTCCAGACAAAGACAGCTCTTGCTGCTGGATGGCACAGAAGCGGCTTGCGAGTCTGAAGCCGAGCTACCAGCTGCAACCCCGTTGAGCTTGCTGAGCACCATGCAGCTTCGTCCCCGTCCAGCCGCTGAGCTGCACTACCCGTGCCTGGGGCCGGACGGGGGTATGCTAGCAGGGCGGAACGGGAAGGCGAAAGACTCAAGAGATGCAGCAGAGGAGAAAGTCGCCTGTTTGGTGCCTTGATCAATGTCAGGTGGTCTGGGTGGCATCAACCCCAACCGTCCTGGGCCGAGCTCGATCTTGTCGACAGGATCCGCCATGTCTGACAGGCCAGTCCTGGGCGGCATTATTATCACCAAGCAAAGACACGGACAGATGGGTTGCGCGGGGGCGGGGAGGCCGCTTGGGCTATGTGTGTGCTTCGACGAGAGCGGAGAAGTCTGTCTGCTCTGGTCTGTCGTACAACATGGCCCAAAATATCGAGGTGGTGGGGAGACGTTGCGGTCTTTGATGGCTCTGGAAAATACGCCCCGCACCTGGAGAATGGGATTTGTTGGAATGCCATACTCCAGGTCCGGACTAAAGCCAAAGCCATAGTGTCATCTTACTCATGGCAGCTTTTTCTACATTCATCGAAGGCCATTGGTGAGCAGTTGTTAATTATGCGGTCAGTGATGGAACAGCGCTGAGCAGCAGTTTACCGCTCTCGAATCAATCCTCAGAGCTCATGAAATTGAAAAGGATGCTCTCGTTCAGGTTGGCCATTCAGAGCGACCTGTTTCTGTTCGATTCGGAGATAGCATTCCTGCCTTCCAAGCTGGTTGGCACCAAGGTCCACTTGGGACCGGAACCAGCTCGCTGGCTGACAGGGGTCGGCCTGCTGCTAGTCGCCAAGCCGAATGGAAGGGCTTCACCTAAGACCTTCCTAACATACAACCCATCCAAAGAGTTCAATTAGCTGCTTGACACCGGACAGCATGTACCGGGAAGAATTGCCCTATCAGTCTAGCTCGGAAGGCACCATACATACACACGCTGCGCGCTTCCTTGATTAGGTTCCAGGTTGGCTTAGTATCATACGACTTGGTTGATCGCGATGCTCGATGCTCTGCATGGAAGACAAATGAAACCTGCTTCCAAAAGTATATCTCCTTGAGCCCGATAACCATCGGGACCCTGTCAGCGACCCTCTGCGAGCAGAGAGCATGTTTTCCCATCTGACAGTACAGAACCTTAGGGCACCTCCCGAGGAACTGGGAAGACGGACGCCACCTCCGCATTTTCTAGCTTTCACTGACAAGGTCCCCTGGTTTTAGGAAACATCGTTTTGTTCTCTTGACATGAGTGTATACAGAGAAACAGTGGTAATAGCCAGAAAGATATACAAATCGATGCTTAGTCTTGGTAGAAAGATAACCAGCATATCATCTCACTTGTGATCAACTCTGCCAACAGCCAGCTATCTTGAACTTTGCCCACCGAAGCCAGGTGAGGTTGAAACAGGATATTCTGCCAAGAAAGTCAAGCTGGTTCATCTCAGACGCTATTCACACTTTGAGCTTAGCGCTCCACTTGGCTTACCTGCCTGCAGCACGGGCCAAACTCTATTTGGTCGCCGCTCACAGGTGCCAGGCACCACCTCGCCAGCCTCAGACACCAACTTCAGGGACCGATCAAAACATCCGCCAAATTTTCTGCA